TTTTATCTTCATTTTATTTATTATTATTATTATTATTATTATTATTATTATTATATTATTATTATTATTTTGTTGTTACAGTTCTTCTCTCATTTGTTCATTGTCTGTGAGCTTTGTATCTGGGCTCCTCATTGAGATGAATCATATACGGGTTCTGAGTATAGAAACTAATACTTGAATATTTAATAAGTCAATTAATCATGTTTCTAGTAGTGTAAAAATTTACAACGAGTTTATGAAGTCTAGGTCAATGATAATGAAATATAAAGTCAATGTTAATTAAGTTGTGCATATTAGGTGAACCTAACTCACAATAATTCGAGGTAACAAAAAAAAAAAGCACAATAATTCTGAAGATTTATGAAGTCAAGGTCAATTAATTTGTAATATTACATATCATGTGTCATTAAACTAGCTTTCGTCTTTGTAGTAGTTTTATCATCATGTTCAATTAATTTATAAAGTAACGGATCGAGAGGTAGGACATCATTATATTAAATATGGAATCTAGGATACTAGGATAGTTTAGTTAGCTCATCTCTTTCAAAGAAATTGCCGAGAACATGATGGGCAGAGCCATCAATTAAGTCTTGACCTTGAGGTCAACCCTTCTATGCTATAATGAATTGAGGAGCGGAACTGAAAATCAGGTCCCACAATTGGCGAAAAAGGTCACCAAGAGCCTCCTCCACCCTTTTTTTTTTTTTTAAGCAGGGTATATAGTTGCTAGTATCATGAGGCATGAGAGTGTGAGTTGAAATGATTTTCATATGGAATAGGCCAAACTAATATTGGTAATAATTTCATAAATGAAGTCTTTTAAACTCTCCTGTTCTTTTGACAAAAACAAAAAAATCTTATGTTGAAAACTAAATTAAATAAACATTAACAATAAAACTCATGGGAAAGTTTCACAATATTTTAGTTTGCTTTTAACTATTCTTCACTTTGCGAAGAAGCGTCTTTTCTCCTCATCCTCCGCGGTTAGAACTTAGAAGGGATGGATGACAGGGAAAGATGTATGCTCCAACTAGGTAAACTGTTTTGTTAATGTTATCGCGTATTATTAAAAAATAAAAAAACAAATGTGATCAATTATAAATTAGAGAAGTCAGGGAAAATTTAAAAAAAATAACATATCCATTAACGGAGCAACTTATAAAATATACACGAGAAATAGTATAGCATATATAATACTCTTTCCAAACTACAATATATGTCATTTGATAGTTAATTCATGTTTTATAAAAAATATTAGTTGAAATCTTATTTTTCTAAAAATGTCCACATTTTTATATTTATGTCCTTAAATTTTCCTAGTAAAACATGTATAGTTTATGAATATGAAGTCTTTATAAATAAAAAATAAAAAAAGTAAGGGTAATGGTAAAAAGTATAAAATTTATCCAATGTCTTACATCTTAAACAAAGAGATGTTTCTTCTAGAAAATGATTTATATTTTGATATGAGTGGAGTAATGTCAAATAAATCCTAATGAATATAGAATTATTGCTTAATGAATACAAAGATACATATAAATTAATATTGAATAAATCATAATTATACTCTCTCTATTTAAAAATATAAGATATTTCTTGAGGGTAAATGTTAAAAAATATAAAAAATTTTTATTTTTTAAGATATAATCATTATCATTTTTTAAATATCCATATTCAATAAATTACTTTTTATTTATTTTAAAATAAAATATCCTTTTAAATAAAAATAAATATGAAAAAAATAATAATTAATTTAAATGTAAATAATTATTTTATTAAGTGATGGGATTTATTAAAAATATATTATCTTTTTTGATGAAGGAAGTAAAAAACTACAACTAAAAAAAATGTGAGCAATTATTGCAGCATCTCTTCATTTTTCTTTTCTCGAGTCTTAGCTAAATGTTGCTACTTGCTCTGAATTGAAGGTGGGCCTCGAATGTTTTTAAAGTTCAACCCGTGTACTTTATATATATATATATATATATATAAATTAAGAACGAAAAATCAACACGCTCTTAGTGGCGTCAACTTCAAAAAAAAAAAATCTAAATATATCCTTTTTTCTCTACCCATCCATCCATCATCAGTTTCGTACTATAGGGTCAACATTGACGCGTGCTATCGTTTTCAAGAAGGGTAGAAATATATGACTATGGATCACAATTAAATGCTGTCGGCCAAAAATAAAAAATCATAATTAAATGCTGAATCTTCCACCAAAGTTCGGAGCTATCACTGTTTGTTAGCAAAATATGGTCCGAAATTCGCCCCTGAGAGAGTATGCACACGTTGAATTTCTTTCTAGTACTACGTTATTTACTGTAAATTTGAAGTATTTAAATTAAATTTATAATTTAAAAAATTATTAAATCTTAATTGTTAAATTGCAGTGGACACTGCAAAGGAAGAAAGCAAACTCCGTCTATACATAGTACAACTGAACATACTACCAATGAAAGACGACAAAGAATGAAAATTTTGTGATGCAATACAACTAAACCCTCTCTCCCAGTAATAAAATATAAAAAAATATGCAATGATAGGAAAAAAAATTGTATTGAAACTCTGTTCCATATATAGAGAGTTAATTTATTTATCTCCAGACAGTGGAAAGCCTTGAAATTTTGGGGGGGAAATGTTAAGACGTCAAAATGTGGATGATAATCACGTATCAATGTTACATTTAACAGAATTGTGCCAAAAAAAAAAAGGTATATAAGTGGAAACACTCATTAATTTATTCTCTTAATCTTGGTTTACTATGGAATGTCAAGCTCACATAATATCATATCTATTATAATTTTTCAATGAATTTTACCCATCAATAAAACTTCATTTTACCAGATAAGCTAGCTTCATTAATTCTCATTCAACATATAGATAATCTATAGAAATTTAAATAACTCGTAATATATTTAAGAAAAAATACTGCTTGCTGCTACATACATACATGCATATATACATACATATAATAGGGATTCAACCAATATTTAAAAGCCAGATCGGATGATAGATCCAAAAGTCAGTGATTACAGTTCTCATAATTTAACCAATTATACCAGCAATCAAAATGATGATATAATAATTAAATAAAATAATATTTACATGCATATATAAATAAAAATTTTAAAACACTTATAATGTCATTCTTAGTTCAGAGTTGTTCAGTCATGCCAGATTAATTTTTAATTTCCAATTTTTTCATATATATTTTTTATTTACCTTATTTGTTATCCACATGGCAGATGATACAGTTTAATTAATATAAAGTCAATAACAAACCTTGCACACAAAAAAAAAAGTCAATAATAAACCATGCAATCAAAATTTTACGATAACACAACACATAAGAAAGTTGATATTAATCCTTCTAAATTGAATAAAATTCTCCTCACTAAAACAAAAGTAAACTAACAAACTATCAAAGTACGGTTCAATTGTTCCAGGTTAATTCTAAGCCTACCATCAGACACGTCCAGTTCAAAGCAATACAAAACGGTTTAACAAATCAAACCATGTTACTTTTGTATTTTGAGTGACCGTATGACCTTCACGGTCATAAATAAAACACTAGATTGAACTCCGGGTCACCATTTTGATTGCCGTACGTATCTTAATACTTAAAGCACTTGTTAAACTCGGGTCCGCACTGCCTGGGATTCCTCAAGATTCGCCATATCATCGCTCTTAGCCAAGGTTCACTGAATATTACCGTGATGAAGTAGACGAAAGAGAAAATAGCAAGTGGGATGGAAACATAGACAGCATAATAGGAGAAAGCCGCAAGCAAGCCACAGTAACTGAATGTGAGAAACAAAGTGAGCAATCGAAGCAGAAACAAGAATCCACGGTGGCCACGCAAACTGAGATCGAGAAGGACGATACACACCAGGAAGATTAAGGTGTTCATCACCAAGAAGCAGAAAGCCAAGAAAGCTGGACACTGATTTAGATTGCTTACCACGTCGGGTTGGCGATGGTCAGTATCGATCACAGCCTGCAAAATGCAAGACCAATCTATTTCACTGCCTTTCTTGAAGAACGTTGATGGAGGATTCAGCAATCCTTGATAGGTCAAAGTTATAATCAAGGTCGCCACCACCAGTATTGATTTCTCATATTTCTTGTTCCCTCCTGCTTCCTTCTTTTCGTTTTTAGGTGCTTCATGCTCGCCGCCCTTCACCTCCACGTTTAATCTTGTTTCCTCCTCCTGCATATGATGATCATTCTTCTCTCTCTCTAATATTGCCTGCAAACATTTGCACACATGTTAAAATGTAAGCGGAAGCTAGTGTAAGAAGTTTCACATCCAATAAAGTTATCAGCTTAATAATTATTATATAATAAAAGTGAAGAACCCGGAAAATCTTTTGGGAACCTGGAATCGTTTCTTTGCTGCCACAAGATCATGCATGGTCTTGCCGTAGTGGTCCTTGGCTCCGAGTAGTATTTGGGAATTCGGAAGCCTGTTGATCTTCTCCACTGTCAATTTGAAAGCTTCAAATCGGTTAGCCCTCGCTGCTAAATGAAGAACTGTCTCGCCTGTTGCTGTCAATTCTTGTAGATATTCAGGACAATGGCTGATCAGCTCTTCTATTACATCGACTCTACCTCTGAAAACTGCATAATGTAGTGGAGTCCAACCATCGTCGTCCTTCAGAAGGCACTGGTTCACTTCATCGTCAAGCTTCGCCTTCAAGAGCTCCTTCACTATCTCAACACGCTCTGCAACTGAAGCCATGTGCAACGGGACCAAACCTTTCTGGTTGGGTTGCGTGGCTAATGAAGGCATTTGAGTAACGATCTGCGTCACAAAATAAACTTTATCTGCTAGTGTTGCGACGTGAAGCGGTGATTCTGCAAATGGACTAAGCAAGCTTTCTTCAGTATGTTAGGATCATCCACCAATAGTTTGTTCAATGCGATAAAGTCTCCGGTTAAAGCAGCCTCCATTAACCTTTGATCCATAACTATGTGTGAATCGTGATCCTGAGTCCTATGCTTTGTTAAATTAACAACTTCAACTAGATGAGTCAATTTTCCCAATAGAGACTCCTATATATGTTTTTACATCCCAACAAAACTAAAAGGATTGCTTAAAGCAATTCTTGATGAGTTCTCACTAGGTTGATTGGCTGGTGAAGTGCAACTTAGTTAAGTCAACAACCAATAGTCAATGAGTTGATCAAAAAACAACTAATGGTCAATATTATGCAGCAGCATGCTAAAGCTATGTCCCAAAAAGTGGCATATATATATGGTAGTCTCATATATAACAATATTAAATGTACATGGGGAATGGCACTTTGGGACCAATGTTTTAATTTAATTAATTTCAATACAATTTAGACCAATAGTTCATAACAATTATTACTCAATACATTTTCTTCTTCTAAAATATTCCATGCATGTCAAAAACTGAAAGATCATCAATAATGAGTTATATGAAAGATAAGAGTATATATATGTCAAACTGCAAATACATTTCCTTCTAGAATACCCACATTTTAACTCATTTTTTAAATATATTATCATGGTTAAAACTATGCAAGAGAAAGCAAGATCATGTCAAGTTAAAAATCTAAAAATTCACCAATGGAGGTTGGGTACTAGTAAGAGAGGCTAGTCTCTCACAATGTGGTGCTAGGAAAGGTGTTCATATTTAGTATGTGACTGTATTTTGAATAGAATGGCCTCCAATATAAATATACTTGTTACCAACAAACCAAAAAAAAAAAAAAAAAGAAGCCAAAAGTTCATATGCAAACAGTGAGTCGTTAAAAATCCTTTCATGCTTGTTGTGACCTATAGGTGCTCGAACCCAAAAGCTATGTTTATTTACCTCATTTTTTGTCCTTTTTTTGACACTAGACACTAATTGATCGAATTTAGGGCTAGGCTCCAGACAATATTTTTCTTGGCGATTTTTTTAAAAAGTTTTACATTATCACAATGTATATCCAAACTCCAAAAAATAAAAAATAAATCTTCTCAAGTTTGACTTGCATAATGAAAATCTAAACTCTAAAGGATCAAATTCAAATGTTATAAAATCCAAATTGAATAATAAAAATCCAAGCTTTAAAGGGAAAATATAAATTATCTACAGTCCAAATTGGAAATAAAAATAAATCTTCCTTAATCCTCCTCATTTTTATTTTAAAGAAACAAAAGCTAAAATTTATTTTTTATTCTTTAGCTTATATAATATTTTATTTTAATTCTTTAATTTTATAAAGTATTTTTTATTCCTATAATTTTAACTATTAGCTTCAGCAAACAAAAATTTTTCACATTAAACTTTTAAATATTAACAAAAAATTCTTTAATATTGATATATTAAATTTAAATATTCAAAATAAGAATGATTGACCAAAAAATAATTATTTGAAACTAATGTGTTAAGGTTAAAGGATTGAAAAGATACTTTATAAAATTAAGGGGCTAAACTAAAATCTTATACAAAGTTAGAGGGCTCAAAATTATACTTCACCCAAAAACAAAATATTTGACCATTTAAAAATAGGGTTAGGTTAGCCAACTTGATAAACTTGTGGAAGGATGAAATTGCACTACATGTAAGTTTAAAATGTCATATGCTTTTGGGCAACTAATTGGGGAAAAAGAAATATTCTCTAACCCTTAATTATTTAACTAGAAATTTCTCCTTATTAGGGGTGTTCATGGGACAGGACAGAATCGGGACACTTCCATCCCGACAACTGATCAGAACTTAAATTTTGTCTTGTGTTCTGTCTCGTCCTGGAGGGAGTCGGGATGGGGCCAGGATGTCTTGAGTTATGGTAAACATAATTAATTTTGTGATTCAGTTATAAAAGATCTTTCAACATAAATCATATACTAAAAAGCAAATTATAAAGTGCACCATCCAAAATGCCACCAGCCTTAATCTATTTCTTTATATATGGAAAATATAGGAAATTAAATTTTGTAAAGTCATGGTAAACCTAATTAAATTTTGTAATTCAGTCATGTGAAAACACTACTAGAAAAATTGAATTTAGCGAGGGATGAATCCCTCGCTAAATACCATTTTTCACAGCTAAATTGCATTTTAGCTATGAATTTTGTCCCTCGCTAAATTTGTAGTTAAAAAAGGGCTCACTAAATTTAGCGAGGAATTGTATTTCCCTTACTAATTAGTGAGGGATTTAGTGAGGATTAAATCCCTCGCTAAAATTAGCTAGGGACTGAATCCCTCGCTAAATATGCTTATATTTAAAAATAATTATGCCACATCACCTGCCATGTGTGATGTCAACTTGTGACATGTCATCAACAACCTCATGCTTTGTCAACCACCATGTCACCTACCATCTTGTGCCTTATCACCCACTACATGCGCGACAACTCATGACATGTCATTGTCTACCTTGTGCTATGTCACTTGCTCCTTACCATATCATATATTCATCATGTTTATGCCAAAGCCAAGGTTTGAACCCTTAACCTCATACCTTCCAAGCTTTATGCTCTCCTTCTTTGCTAGTTGAACTGAAAGGCACCTACAAGCATTATATAATAAATTATATATATATATATATATATTATTTAACTACATAAATATATCAAATAATATATTATAAAAATACACACATATACATATTAAATCTTATTTTCAATTATTAATATGTTAAAAATATTTATATTTTATTTAAATTATTCTTTATATTATATTTTTAATAAAATATTATTTTATTAATGGAAAATCAACTTAAAATAAAGAAAATATTAAATAATTTTATTATTAATATTTTAGTTAATTTTTAAATTTAATTATTATTTTTAAATGAAAATAATTAAATGTATAATTAAAAGTCATTGTCAAAAGGTACTTTTTTTGTAGCAATTAGCTAGGGAAAGAATCCCTCACTAATTATTTTATTTTAGAGAGGGATTGACAGTCCTTCGCTATTTTCCTCGCTAATTCTCTTATTTTAGAGAGGGATTGACAGTCCCTCGCTAATTTCCTCGCTAATTTTAAGTCAAGCTACGAAATCAACATCCCTCGCTAATTTCCTCGCTAACTTGGTATTTTAGAGAGTAATAAATGATCCCTCGCTAATTTGCATTTTTTTAGTAGTAAAAGATCTTTCAACATAAATCATGTACTATAAAGCAAGTTATAAAGGGTACCAGCCAAATGGCAACAACCCTAAGGTCTAATTCCTCATGAAAATGCCATCAGGCATATAGCTTAACATGATGCCTCAAATTGATCACATAAATTATAAATGAAAATTTATTTTCTTTAAAGGTAATACCTCATTGCTAATGTAGATTGAAGTTTATGTGATGCCAGCTTCTTTGTCATATTTGTAACTCCCATTGTGGAGATGGTAATCAATTTATGCCCAATTTGCACATCCTAAAACACACATGCACCCCACACACACTATAGCTATTTTTGATGAAATGATTTCCTGAAATTTGGAAGGGGGTGGTATATGCATATAAATATAACCACCCTGTTTTTAAATCACATAATTTGCTAAACTAACAACATTCATTGAAAAGTTAAATCACTAAACTAACAACGTTCATTGAAAAGTTAAATCAAGTTTAAGAAAAACATTTCAATAACAGCATTCATAAGATAAACAATAACAATTCAGTAAATACAATTCAAGAAATATAAGTAACTTCAAGCTATAAATGCAACAAGTCAATAATAAACAAGCCAAGCCCCAAGTACAACTTCAAGTCATTAGCCTTCCTCTTCAATTGAGATATTTGAAGCTAATGACTCTTTTGAAAATAAAACAATAAACACAATATAGAAAATATTAAATATAGATAAATATAGAAATAAAATATATTAATATTATTAATATATTATAAAAAATGATATTACCTTGTACTACTTGTTCTGTATCATTAAAATTATTAGCATCAAGACCCTTTAATTTGTTGTTGATGGAGATAGCCAATTTTGGGCACAAATTAGTACCTCAACTATCCTTGGAGATAAGGAAATTTTAAAATCATCAATTACATGACCTCCTATGCTAAATGTAGATTTTGAAGACACAATGGAAACAAGCATGTAGCCATCACATCACATGAAATCAATGAAAGGACTTTGTATTTAGTAAAATTCAATTTTTACCATGTTAAAATTTCAAAATTTGGGTCAAGTGTTTCACCTAACTCATCTTGTAAACACTCCACCTCTCTGCATACTTATTTGCTTGAATTTGAGTTTGTTTGTGGGCAAAAACCTTCGGAATGAAGCTCTAGACCTTGAACTTAAGAAAGCTGTAATAACCTTGAAAATTTAAAATAATATTTAAATTTGTAATAGTAAATTTGATTGTATTTTTAAGACACCTTTCAGTAAGTGTACCAACTGGCCCAGTGGAAATTTTCTCTCGTCCTTACCTTTAGGTTCTTGGTTCGAATCTTTGTGTAGCTAGGGCAGACATTTTTTTTATTTAATCTGGCAAAATTACCATAATGCCCCTCTTTTAAAAAAACATTATCAGATTTTCCCATTCCTTTCCATTTTCTCGATCGCAGCAAAGAGAGTGAAGCAGAGAACTTCGAGAGACTTCTTTCTCCACCTCCTCCGTCTTTTAGTCCCTAGTCGATGCATATGTGTGGAGGACTTCAGCTCGTCGCCGCTGCAGTTCTTCAGAGGGTGTGCTAGATTTTTCTTCCTCCGCTTTTGTTCATGTCGCCCAATTCTTCATCTCCTTCTGCTTCATTTACGTCACCAGAATCTTCTTCTCGTTAGGTCTTCCTATTCTATCTTATTCATTCACGCCCTTATTGATCTGATGTAAAATGTACGTAGGTTCAAAATCTTTTTCTTCCTTCTCTACTCTTGCCATATTCATATCCTTTAGGGTTAATGGATATGAAATATAGTTCATCTACTTTGTTTAGCTGATATACGTGGTAGGAGAGGAGTAGGATTTTAGAGAAAACTAAGATTGGCAAGACAATATTTTATTTTTGGTAGGTTTTCCTATTATAATTTATATGTAGTTGACAAAGAGAAAGGAAGCATTTTTGTTTACTTTGAATGGATTTTTGATAAAGACACAGTTTGGGAAGCATAGAAATTTATATAAATGTTTTGGAATTATTGAGCAAGAAATTTGGGGAGTAAGAAACTTGACAATATAGTTTGTATATTAATGCCCACATGGTATTTGTTAAAATGCATAAAAGAGTTGGATTGAAGTAATCAAGTATATTAAGTGGATTAAGGACTGAAATTTAGGATTTAGGTGGTCCAATCTTTATGTTGATACTTAGGAAGGTACAAATATTGCTTGAAAAAACACACACACATGATTGAATCAGGACTGTCCTACTTGTTCTTTAAAGGACTCGAATCTAACTAGTCTCCACGATTCATGAGGAGGCTAGATTAGGGATACAATATCCTATGGTTGTTAAATTTGGGAGAAACCATGGCTCACAAGTGAGTGAGTTAATCTTGACCTAGTAGCTCCTCACAAGTGAAAGGTAAGGTTAGTTTGGGTTATGGACGTAGCCATTTAATAACTACCGGTACCATAGTGGAGGTAATAAGGTTGGAATTAATCATGCATTTAGTTTTGGCTACATGATTATTATTGTTGTGGTCCAGTGTATTTTAGGTGCCACATAGTTGTTAGTTTTGTGACCTTATAATGTGCAGAATTGATATCTATATGATGATATGTGTTTCATACTTGGACACTTAGTGTTATTGTTGTGGCTAATGCTATATTTGTCATACATGCATGATAATGTGTTTATTGCCATTTGCATATATTCTAATTAATATGCAACTGTATACATTAGGTGGACCTTGGTTATTGAGTGGTAAGACTACTCGTCCTTCATTCTTCAATATTTTTTAAGGATTCTTAGTAAATCCTATTAGTAGGCCTCTTAGACTTACTTTGATGTGTATTTAATGTTCTTAATTTTTCAACTAGGACTCATATCATTATTTTGAGCTCCTTGCATTATCATTGTAAAAATTCTATGTTTTTTGTGCCCTAAATGAGTGGGTTGTGCTTGTAAACTTAAATAGAGTGAAAATACTTGTGCAAGTAATGTAAAGTATATTTTGGGATGAAAATTGATGATTTGTGCAACTTGTCCTCCCCCTTGTGTTTATGTGATTTTAGGGGTTGAGTGGTGAAATTATGATATGTGTGTATTTGAATGGGTGTGGTATGCTGTACGAGTCCTAAATGGTCAATTAAGTGTGGTCTAAGAGTTGGTGTAGGCTTTTAGAACACGTGTGTGAGTTTGGATATCCTAGTTGTGAGTTTTTGTAAAAAAAGAGTAAAAATGGGTTTGGATGTTTAAATTTTGATAGAAAATAAATATTCTTATAAAATTTATAATATCATCTAGAGTTAGGAGAAAGCTATATGTAGACACCAAGATAACCTTAATTAGATGTTGGATGGAGATTTGAGATGTGTTAGAAGTTCATTCCTTATGTTGTTATTTGACAGCAAAAATTTATTGTCAAAGCTCATGTAATCTGCCATGGCACATGGCATAAAGACATGCATGTCGCAACACATGATTGCTTAGCTATGGCGCATGTGCTATTTTCTACACTATTTCATTGTTTTCAGTTTTTATGCAAATGCTTTGATTTTTCTTAATTTCCATGCTTCCATAAATGCTTTAATCTCTGATTTGAATATATAAAAAGTGTATGGGAATATTTTAACTGTTGAAATTATAAGAATTTATCAATTTTAAATTGTAAATTGAAAATTGAAAAAATGTGTTTATCCCAATTGTGTAATTGTGAAAATTTGATAATTCCTCATTGGGTTGATCCTTGATTACCTTGGTTTTAAGATCAGCGGTGATTAGAGTAAGGGGAGTATAACTTGGAAAGGCCAACCTTACAAGAAGACCCTTATGATTATGTGCATGGCTACTTAAGGATAAATGCTTATACTGAGTGTTATTCCCTTGATGTGAATCCAATTAATGGAATGGAATTGTGGAAAGCAACAAATAAGGAGGAGATGGACCCTCCTTCCTATCATAGAAGACTAGGAAGGCCTCCAAAAATAAGAAGAGCACTGATGATGAGCCATCACAACCTAATAAAGTTCAGAGGACAAACATACAACTTTGTTATGCTTCTTGTAGAAACTATGGTCATAATAGAAGAACATGTGCTATTGGAAGGAGTTCACAGCAAGAATCTGTTAACATGACATCACCATCACAGCCCCAACAATAAAAGATCAAGATGGTGATGAAGTGAAAGCTTTTATGTGATTTTTTTTTTTTGGATTTTTGGATGTATTTAGAACCTTGTTTTAGGTATATGGAACCTTTACTGTATATTTTTAATATATTAGGATATGTTTTGAACCTGTCATGATGTATTTTGAAATCTATTATATATGATGTGTTTTAATCCTTGTCATCATGTTTATTCATCTATAATTGACAGCGTTACTGCACATTCAAGTTAACAGCATTATAACACATTCAAGTTGACGGCATTATACTCATCAAAAAAATGGTCATTCATTATATTTGTCTTTGCCCAAATAGGCATTACAATAGCATCAAAATCTACTTTTCATACTATATCTAAATAGGCATTACACACTTTCATATATAAAGCTACATATTATTACCTAAATACAATTATAAAAAATAGTATGCCCACAAACAGACCCACTTTCATAATATAATGCATCTTTATTCTTCCCTTGAAGCCTTGTATTGTCTTCTTCCCCCCCCCCCCGAAATTCTATTCTCTTCCATCATCATGCGTTCCTTTATAGTCCTCTTCCCTTTCTCTAAAATTATTGGGAAGGCATGTCAGAGAAAGGAAGCTTCTCTTATGACTCTGTTTCTAGTTACGTATCCTGCAAATAAAAATCAGGAAGTAGCTGAAATCAAAATTAAATCAGAAGCTAGCCAACAAATGATTCAAGAGAATAAGATAAGATCAATTCGAAGCATAAATGGTAGGGTATATTCAACATTTGAAGAGTTTTTCCCCCTGGTCTAATTCTTGTTAAGACCGATTCTTGAATTGCCTAAGTAGAGAGCATGATTTAGGGAGACAAGCTTTGCATCTGAATATTAGGCAATCATGATTATTCTTGAATTGCCTAAGTAGAAAGCATGGCTTAGGGAGACTGATTATCATACCTTGTAATTTCTACATGAAAGAAACCCCTTTCCAGCATCTATATCCTCATTCCTGTCCAAAAAAAAGGGAAGCACTTTTAAACACCCACATCTGCACAACTCAAAGAAAGAGAAGAAGAGAAGCAAGTTTAAACCCATAACTCCGTGGCTTAGACAAAGATCTATGAGGAAGAAGAGGACAGCGACGGAGAAGCAATTTTTAATAACCCAGAAGAAGTAAGTGACTTCAAAGATGCAAGGACGGACTTCAAAGAGGGTGATAGACTTCGAAGAGGGCGACGATTCGGACAATCTGGAAGCCTTTTGATTTGCTTGTTTGACATTCACGTTATCTTCTTATTTTATCGCCTGGAAATCCCTCATTTACTCCTGCTCTTTTTTCTTTTTCTTTTTTCTAATGTTTTTCCCCTGCTGATTCACTATATGAATGGATTGATGATTCATTTTGTTTTTGCCATGTAAGATGGTTAAATGATGACTCAAACCTAAGCTATGGATAACAAGGACAAAAATACAAATGGTGCAAATATTAGGAATTGAGTTTTAAATGAGTCAAAAGTTTAGAGATTGAGTTGCACCAAGTCATACTTCAGGACTAAGTTTTAAGTGAGTTAAAATTACAAGGACCAAAAGAATAACTTTTTCTAAAATTAATATTATCTTGTTAAATTGTAACTTATTTTCTCAATTTTAAAATTATGAACATATTAATTACATGCATTTTAAGTTCATATTTTTGAAAAATAAATCTTACAAGATGCTCTGAATTGAAGTTGGGTCCTTGAAAAGTTTTTAAAGTTCAAAACATGTACTTTTTGTTTATATATGCGTTTTTTTTTTATAAAAGAGAAATTATATTAACAAATAAAACATAAATGCAAAAGTAAAGGTTCAAAACTTAACAATAAAAGCAGAAGTAGAAAAACATAGATTGTGGTTAGTATAACTATGACCACACTTCTGGATAGAAAAATGAGTAAAATACTAGAGCATCTGCTTTATGTCTTGATAAATAATATTGTGACCTAAAGGAGGAAATAAATTTCCTTTGTTGAGCTTTAGTACAAAGTCACCAAGCAGGATAGAGGAATCTCGATGATTTTGCCCGAAGCTATAGATCCAAAGGAGTACACTTTGAAGATAGACTACCATGAAGATGTCAGGCACTATCAAATCAGATCCATGAAGGATGAGATGCTGAAGTTCTGTACTATTCAAGGAAATGTTCATTGAATAGTAAGGTTTCTTTATTTTCTTAAACTTACATATGTGAATTTCCCAATATGACAATTGATGTAATGATGTTCTTATGATCTTATCATTTTCCAAACTTTATATTCTATATATGATGACTTGAAAGATATAATCCATTAGCATGTTTTAAATTACAAGTAGATCTAATGAAGAGAAGATCTTGCTTAAAATTTGAAATGAAAGATTCAGCTATTCTTTTCATATTTTGATGAAGGGAAAGATTCCTAAATAGCTAAATTTTAAGAAGTAAGAGGAAAATATTTACTAACAACTTTGTTTCTTGGTTTTGATACAAAAATAGTTAAAACTTGCAAAATCCATTGAGAGAAACCAATCTCTAAAATGGATATAGATCTAATAGATAGAACTCCAAAACAAATAGCCTTAATGATTGGACATTCACAAAAGAGATGACTTATGATTTCTTGGGTGTCATAGCCAAAAACAAAGTGCAGAGAGCAATTTAAATGATGAGTATTTAAAACATCAATTATAGAAAAGGCCATGTGAATTAGCTTCCAAATGAAAAGCAGAGTCTTTTGAGGAAGGTGCAATTTGTAAAGAAAATCCCAAATATATTCATTCACATAAGGGCTAGTTGTTGTAATGAGTGCCAGCTTAGTGAAACCCTATTTAGCATAATAATGTCCTATACCCTATATGAGTTTATTATTTTCATCAGTGAATGATATTAGAGTGCTAAGTATGGACTTAATAGTTGCTTCATCATTTAAAGCTTTGATAGTAGAACTATTCCAACAAAAAGCAGTCCAAGAATTGGGATTTTTAATAGTAAGATTAGGTGCCTTGTGAGCATTAGACCTTTAAAAGATTTAGTTGAATAGATTTCCACCAATGAGTATGAGTAAGATAGATGTCTTCTTCATTACTAACCTTCTATTGGAGATGTTTTTTGATGGTGCTCTCAGCCTTGTAGATTGCTTTCCAATACCATAAAGCATTATACAATAATTTGAAACAAGACACATTAGTATTTGAGCAATACTTGAGTTTTAAAGTATTACCAAGAAGAGAATTCTCCTTTTGCTATCATCACCTACCAAATTTGTTTAGCTAAAAGAGTAGTATTCACAAGACTGGCTTTCCTTAAATCGAGGCCTCCTGATTTTCCTGGGCAAAAAAGAATATCCAGTTTGGCGAGATGAATATTTTTCTTTTGATCAAAAATTCCCCAAAAAAATCAGTTAACTTTGAATCAATATGATTGCATAACCATTGGGAAAGGTTAATACAAGAAAGTGTATATATATTTGAAGCAGTAAGCACATATTTGATCAAATTAAGTCTTGATACTTGAGATAAAAGCTTAACCTTCCAAGATGCTATTCTCTTGTCAACATTGGTCATTACCTATTAAAAATTCCCTCTTTATCATTTTTAGCATCTATCCATGTGCCTAAATATTTTTTAAAAGAGTCTGTACATTGAATGCCAAGAAAAGATGAAAGATCTTGCTATTCTTGAGGTTGAATATTTGGACTCAAGATAAGAAATGATTTTTGGATGTTTATTTCTTGTGCTAACCAAGATCAAAATGAACTCATTGCTTCTTTAACAACCCTAATGTCTTCTCTTGTATATTCAAAGAATATGGTAGAATCATCGGCATAGAGGAGATGAGAGACAAAATAAGAATTTTGATAAATTTTAATCCCCTTGAATAAACATTGTTGCTCTTGTGGATGAGAAGGCATGACAAAATATTTGCAGCCAAAATAAATAGATAAGGAAAAAGAGGGTCCCCTTGCCTAATACCATTATTGGGAGAAATTGGTTTAGTGATTTTGCCATGAAAAAGAATATGATATTCAACAGAGGCAAAAAAATGAAGAACCAAGTTTACCCATTTAGGTGGAAAGTTCATCCTTTTAAGTACAACTTCTAAGAAACTCTAAGATAATTTATCGAAAGCTTTAGAGAAATCAAGCTTTAAAACACCCAATTTTTTCCTCTTGCCCTTAATGAAATGAATTTGATGAACAAGGTCTGCAACTACCAGAATGCTATTAGTGATTAGCCTATTAGGTACATAGGCACATTGAAAAGGAAAAATTGAAGAAGGAAGAATGCTTTTTAGTCTTGATCAAAATTTTAGAAATGATCTTGTAAGAAATATTACGAAGATTGATTGGCCCTAAGTCTTTGAAAGACTTTAGGGTTTCTCCCTTCAGAATAAGGGTGATGAGAGTTTTGTTTAGGGATTTTAAAAGATGTTCAAATTCCCATAAATAAGAGACCATAGAGAAGATGTCTTCAGCTACAATATCCCAGAATTTTTGAAAAAAAAAAGTGAGCATTAAAACCATCCATGCCAAAAGAAATATCTTCAAGAAATCTAAAAACTGCTTCTTTGACTTCCTTTAGAGTGATAAGAGCTATAAGAAAACGTTGATCAGACTCTGTCACTTCTAGTATTGAAAACTTATTTAACTCAGAGATTAGAGTTTCTTGATTAACTCTTTGAGAACATAAGTAAATATTATTGAAATTCTCCCAAGTAGCAGTCTTAAGATCTTCTTGATCATCAATCCATTCCCCAGATTCTATTCTCAAGCAATGAATAAAATTTTGAGCTCTCTTATGATTGACAATCATGTGAAAAAGTTTTATGTTTTATTTTCCCTCTACTTTCCATTTAATCTTAGTTCTTTACGCCCAAAAACTATGTTAATTAGCAATCATAGAAAAATTCTTAAGAATGTTTGAGATCATAGAACTTACTCAAGAGGCTGTCATCAATGTGGGGCTAAGCATCCAAAATAATAGAAAGTTGTTGAATATCCTTTTCTAGTATGCTAATATTAGAGTTGAGATTACCAACCTTAGAAGAGCTCCAAGAGTAAAGCCTAGTTAGGGCTTTAGATAACTTACTGTGGAATTTGAAATTGGGAGAACCTTTGATTGGGGTTTTCCAAAAATTAGTAACAACATCTTTACACTCAGCAAAGTTGAACTAGTAATTTTCAAATTTCCTCAACCTTTGATTAGATAAGATGTCTATTGAAGTTGAGAAAAAAAAATGGGGCTATGATCTGGATCAACCTCGTCGAATTCAAGATATTAATTCTGGGAAAATCTTGCATCCAACTATCATTATAGAAAGCCCTATCTAGCTTCTCAAGAGTAAGTTGTAATCCCTTTGTATTATTGGACCATGTGAATTTTGGTCCATGCTGCTTAATATCTATTAAATTACCCAAATTAAGACACTCTTTGAAAGAGAAGGATGAGGATGATCCTTTGCCTTATGAGTACATATCTAAGAAAGAGAGAATCTAGCTAAAATCCCCTATAAGTAACCATGGTGAACAAATGTTCTTGGCAGTGTTAAAAATCCAATTCCACAAAATGTGCCTAATTTGTGCCTTAGGTGGGTCATATGCAAAAGAAATATAGCACAAGGAGCCAGAGGATATGTTAATTATGTAGTCACAATACAAAGGAGTGCAATTCAAAATTTCAAGATCAAGAAGATTTTTCCAAGCAATAATTGTACCTCCACCTTTGTTTATAGCATTGGTACCAGCATAACTATCAAAAACCCACAACTTCTAATCTAGTAAAAGCTAGAGAGCATGCAATTTTAGTTTCCTGTAGATAAATTATATCAGGATGAAATTTCTGGATGAGTCTTTTTAGCCTTTGAAGTGCTGTGACTTTTTTGAGTCCACAACAGTTCCAAGTTAAGAACTTCATGGCTTCCTGTGAAGCTTTAGTGAGGTTGCTTCCCTAACCCTTTCGATAGAAGATTGAGGTAAATATGATATTAAATCAATCTATTTTCTTTTACCCAGCTGAATTGGGTATGATGGTTTCTTCCTTTTAGGATCACTAGTAATAAAGTCATCACAATCAAAATATCTAAGTCGTCTTGTATTGACTCTACAAACCATGTCATTGAACAAGACAAACTATACTTTCCTGATGAGAGATCGTGCAATTTTTTAGTATAACTTTTTTCTTTAAAGAAGTTCCCGTAGTTGAATCGTTAACATTTTGAATAGGATCTTCCAATTTATATATAATAAAAACAAAACCAAACTCTCTT